ACCGGGTTGTGCATGTGCCGTAAGCACGAGAACTGTCTTTTTTCTGCCTTAGTTAGGAATATTCTCTATTGCAGCCTAACATCCATTTTAATCCTACAAGAAATAGAATGGTTTTTTTTTTTCCCCCCTTATATTTAAGGAAGAGGGATTTAATGAAGCACAGGACTGGATATTTTGCAAAGTACATGCACATTCAGCTCTTTTTCTTGGTTAGGAACATGCCATTGGCATGGAAAAGACCCAAGTAATTGCTTTTGGAAGGGCATGGTCTTCAGCAAGAACAGAACAAACTTTCTGCTCAATTGTCTTTGTTTTGCAGTACTGAAAGTTTGAAGTAGGCTCATTACATGTTTCATCAGAGCCAAACCTGGTCCCTGTTAGTTGCTCTGCATGGATTAAGTGGTTAACGATGTTTTGAGAATGTTGGGCTAGATAGTTTGTGGGAACACCATCTGTTTCCTTTACCGCATAAACAAAGAAAATCGCTGGTTTGAAATACAAGACTATTTAAACTCAGATGACCACAGGCATTCTTAAAAGAGAAGTAGTAAAAGGAAAAAGAATCCTCATGAGGTCTGAAGTTGTGACATTTGTTAGGAAATAAATTCCTAAGTACCAGAGGGGGCTGCTATCCCTGTTCCAGAAGTGGGAGAAGGGCAACTTTTCTTTTGCAGCCACCTCCTTCCTTCTGAAATCCATCTTCAAGACTAAACTGCTATCAGACATTCAAAACCATAAAAAAATGGTTCAACAATGCACTGAAAAGGCTGAGCATCTCGTTCAGAAGCAGCAAGTTCATTAAATGTATTTGCGGTTGAATACTTGAAATCAAAAGTTCTAAAAATACTGGGTTTGGTAGCTTTCATACTTCACCTACCCAGCTACCTCCCTCTTCCCCATACAGAAACAGCAGTGTAACCGCATGTCCTGGCTTCCCGTGGGAGGTACTAGTGTCCTGGGGACATGAAAGTCAGAACAAATGTTCCACATTTTCACTTCATCAAGTAGCATGGGTATTCTTTTAATTACTGTTACAAAACATTCATTCAAGATATGTTTTGGTGATGAGCAGCTTCTGTTCTGAATTGACTAGGAATGAGCAGTCCAGAGAGGGACGTTTAACCTAATGAAAACGTTGGAAGGGAAGATGAGCGGAGGTACAACAGAAAACATTCTTGTACTCAATGCAGACCAGATCAGCCGTTGTGGAGGATTTTACGATGAAATCACTCAGAACATGTTGTTACTGGATAATAATACTCCACACAGGAAAATATACCTGAGTCACTGGGAGAAAAGAGTTGTCTTTCATGTTATCCACAAACCTTGGTTGTTGCTGGGTGTTGCTGGCTTTCTTAAAGTCGTATTTTTCTGTCTTTTATATAGCTATTTCAGAAGCCTAAAAAGGAGCAGACATAAAAGCCTCTGATGCATTTTTATTTAGAAAATAAATGCCATCTTAAGCAGAGTGCACTGCTAAGCACAGCCCTGCAGATAGCTCAGGTCTTCTGTCCACAGTCACCTATGTAAGCAGGCTGTACTCATGAATACCCAGAATCAGGCACTTGGTGGTTTAACCTCTCACTTCCTTTGACAACAGCTGGAAGCACCCAGAGCAGGGGTTTGTTTCACTCAAATGAAGGAGTGACCCTGCTTGACCACTACGTCAGGTTAGTCAAGTCTGGGAAAGAATGAAAGTGTCAAAATACATGATAAAAAAAAAGTCCTGCAGCACTGAGTGAAACTGACTTCCTTCATCTGGCCAGTCTAGCTTTAGTGTAGTTATTTAGGATTGTATCACGGCACAGTAAATAAAACCAGCAGCTTTGTAGTAGTGTAAGCTTTCCATATAGCATCTGGTATGTCAGCCTTTTCTGAAAAATGGGAAGGGTCTCTAAGGATGAGCTACAAGAATAACTGCAGCTGCATGACACTCCTGTATGCAGAGTGAAGGAGGATCTCTCTGTAAATACTAGGCATGAGCGCAGCTTCTCTTCCACATACGTTCCAGGCTTCATGGTGTAAGGATGTCATCTGCTTTGCCACCGGGGCTTCTGTTTTTCAAAAGCAAAATATCATGTTTACCTATAACAAGCAGAGCAAATGGTTTTACTTGTGCATGCCTTATTACCTGCGCTGCGTGGATCAGCTCCCTTTTTTATATGAGACCTATGACTTTTCTTTGAGTTTGTTCATGGAAATTCATTCTCTGAGGAAGGAGAGAGTAGTGGTGTCAATGTATCCTGAGTGACTTTAGGCATGAGGTGGGTAGGACAGTTATTGCTGAGCCTGTGTAAAGGCACTTCTCTAAACTGCTGTGCAAACCTTGGAGAACTGAGGTGCCATAAAGCTTCTACAGAGGTAGAAGCTTCTATACATCATCTCCAGGGGCAGGACCATAAGGAGCATCACACATCTGAGGCCTGGAAGAGATCTGGTCAAATTTGACTCCTGATCTGGATTTAGGATAGAGTTCAGCTTCTGGAGTAGACCACAACTGAGCAAGGGTTTATAAAAATTTCAGACAGAGGGACCAATACCCATCTTTTTGGAGCCTGACACAGCCTGACTCCCAGCCTTGGGAGGCTTTACCTTACAATCAGCAGGTAAAGCAGAGCCAAACTGCAGTGGTGCACCAGTCCTCCCTGCTTCCAGGGCTGGCGTGGGACCTCCGGTTGCCCGCCATGAACAGTCTGTTGGTTTTTTTTTTCCTCTGGGATGGTCAAGCAGTTTCCCGGCACATTAGCAAGCAGCCTAACGCCACAGTGTTCACAGTAGCAAAAGGGTTCGTGGAGATGGGCTACCCGGGAAACAGCCCTTTGGTTTTTACTGTGCATTGTCTGTTCTCCTGGAGGTTCATTTTTAAACACCCAGTGACTTATTATTGAAGCAACGCCATGATTGTAATTTTGGAGCCCCTGTAAGGAACCTCTGAATAAACATTGCTTGAAACCAAATCCTTCTGTTCCTGACTTGGGTGGAAAGCATTTGACTGGCAGCACCCAACTGAAAAAAAAAAAAGGATGCAAAAAATATACGGCAAACTATGCTAGTCTGATCACTAGCCCTCACTGACAGAAAAAGCATGAGGAAGCGATGTTGATACAAGTTACAAGTTTCTCAGGCAAATAGGGTAATCCTAGTATTACATGAGAATGGCCTGGGAGGGATAATGTCTGAGTGATCCACTGTGGGAACTTGCAGTAACTTAAGGGAGAACTTTCTTAAGAAAGTTTTGTCTGTAGATATCTTTTACAATGCAGTAGGTGACTCTGTGGGAGAGGAACGGTCTGTCATAAATTCAATACATTTTTTAGATTCTTTTTAAAAAGCTCTTATATATATAAGCCCTATTAACCCCCACCCAATTC